TGTAGAAGTTGTATTGAAAAGTCCAGCTTGGATGACCTTGGCATCAATACCCATCTTCTGCTTTGCACGCTCTAAAATTACCTCTTCAATTGATCCCACACTAACCAGTACAAAAACCCTGACTTCCTTTTTCTGTCCTATACGATGGGCCCGATCTTCTGCCTGTTGATCCATTTGGGGATTCCAATCACTATCAAAAATGATGACAGTATCTGCTGTTTGTAAATTCAGCCCAAGACCTCCAGCACGGGTGCTCAATAGAAACATGAAGTAGGGAGAGTCTGGTTCATTAAATTTCTTTAGCAAAGTCCCTCTTTCCTCTGTTTTTGTAGTACCATCAAGTCTAAGATACTTAAAATCATTGAGTCTCAAGTATATTTCAAGAATGTTCATTAAACGTGTCATTTGGGAGAAAAGCAGCACTCTGTGGCCAGCTCGTCGAAGTTTTGGTAGTAACCGATCAAGAAGCTCAAATTTCCCTGATGCTCTGACAATCTCCTCTTTCTGCCACCAGTTGTATTCTCTATCTATGAAGAGGTAGGGATGGTTACAACACTTCCTCAGTTGCATGGTAAGATTCTGTAGGCTCTTTGAACGCCCAGTACCTGCAAAATTTTAACTTCTTAGTAAAAAGGTGGCACCCCTTTCTTCTTTCTTTCAGTAAGCAAAATCACTGATCAATATCTACATGGCAGTCAAACTTCTAACCTTTATCACAATTTAGAATGAGAAAAGTAGTCTAGCAAATAAAGAGAAAAGGGGAAACAAAATAGAATGCATGTTAAAATATATTGACATCAACGGGAGATATCATCATGAAACATCTCTCCTTTTGAGAAGGATGTAGATGATAGTTGATAACTCCCACAGGGAGAAGCCCTATCCCCTCCACACATTCCTCCTAACCCCTTCCCCGAGGCTGCAACCTAGATCTTTTTTACACAAGAAGATTCATACTATCAAGTGGGAATACTTAGTTGCCAATCATAGCTCATGCTCATTCCTTGAAAAAGTATTTCTAACTACTTAATTAGCATTTTGAAAATACAGTTAGCCCTCTCTTTGCTTTCAGAAGTTAAAAAGAAAATAATACCACCCAATTTACCAACCAAACCAAAAGCAGCTCCGGATGGAAAGCATCCAGAAGAAGCAAGGCCAGACATTTGATGGTTTGGCAAAGGTTGTCTACAAACAGGATGATTAATGAGATCCACAGAGAGTTCAAATAACAGGCCACACCATAAGAAAATATGGCAAGTAGAAGAATTTACAAACCAGTATCTAGCCCAACTCTGCCTGAGTCTGTAACCTGTTGATAGTAGGCTTTCTGCCATGACGAGAGATCACATTTCAGTATAACCTGGGATTTAGCAGGAAGAAATTTCTCTACCTCATCCTTTTTCCTCCTCAATATGAATGGCCTTATAACCTGAGATTCAATTACAACACATGAGGATGAAGTAATCAAAAGACAGAATAAGGAAATTTGGGGCTGGTAGCAAGGCATACATGATGCAAACGACGAATAATCAATAGCTCTTCTTCATCTGTAAGAGAAACATCACCACGATCTGCAAAGGGAGCGTTAAACCACTCTTCAAAATTTTCTACTGAATTGAAGATGTTTGGAAGGAGAAAGTTAAGCAGCGACCACAATTCCTGTAAACTGTTCTGTATTGGAGTCCCAGTCAATAAGAGTCGGCGTTGAATCCGATAACTGCAAAGACATGAAAGTTCAATTAAAAAGGCCTTCCCAACATTTTATAGAGACAAATCTAAAGTTTACCAAACATCCTACTCCTGAAAATGGCTAAAAATGAAGGCTGCTCTGAGATATAATAGACAGATGGGATGATTAACAAGGTGTTTCTGACAAAGTATTAATGCAGTGCAAAAATAGTTTAAATTTTAATTATGGAGTAAAATAAGGGGAGAAAATTAAACATGAAAGAACTTTAAAGTCAAGCTATTGGCTCACTTAAATGAACTTAAACGCCAAAAAAAATTCAACTATTGATGATATTCGAAAATGGCTTTCTTGGTACATTTGGAAATGGCTTTTTAACCTCCTATCAAAAAAGAAAGAAATGGTTTTTAACCACAAAAAAAAAAAAAACAACACTAAATAAAAGAGCAAGCAGAGTGATGAAAGACATGTTAAGGAGAAAAGTCTCCTTTCCATGGGATCATATACACATATATGAAAAGAATGGATTATCCATGCTTTTAAAATAAGGTTGATGGATAAAATACAGTAATTTGTGCCCTTAGGTGGTATGTTATTTGGAACACCTTTCCTATCAAATCAGAGGATCATTGAAAAATATATCCAATTAAATTATGCCTAAAATAGACAAACAGGATAGAGGGAACTCAAAGTCGGAAAAGCACCCAGCAACAATCTCTAAAAGACATCAGAAAATGGAAAACCATGCAAATGAAAATGTGTCTCAAATCACAATTGCATATTTCTTTCTGTTTTCTATTTTCCTCAAGTTTGCAGGAATGAATTCATAACCACATAGCAAATCAATCAAAAAGAAGAAGGGATTGGGGTGGGAGGGGGGGGCAAAGGGAACGTCTCCCACCAATTGTAAACATGCACGAGGTAAGACTCAAATGTCAAGAGACTCAATAAGGTATGCAAGTTGATAACAAAGACAAATCCAACACCATTTTTCTAGTGTGTTGTAGAACTTGTATTTCTGCATAAGCTACAATAAGAGCGATGGTGTGCACACAGACACACACACATTCATAACCACAGAAAGCCACAACATCTCACATGCTAATAGACTCAATAGGGCATGCTACTTCTACATTTGACATAACAACACTCAAGCAAGGTTCTCTTATCTAAGTGAAGGAAAATATCAGACACAAGCTTTGCAATTCAAAATACCACCACCAAAAATAGTGAGTAGGCAAGAACGAGACATACAGCCTTCTGGTGAAACAAAGCAAGGGATTCAACACACTCCCACCCACACACAAGAAGTTGATTGCATATAGATTCATACCCGGAAATAAGTGTCCGTGCAAGAGCACACTCATGATTCTTTAACCGATGCCCTTCATCAACAATCATGTATAACCAGTGGAATTTCTTCAAAAATGCTTTGTCTCTCATAATAAGGTCATAGTGGGTGATCAACACGTTAAACTTTCCATCCCTTGATAATTCTTCCCTCAGTGCCTTTCTCTCATCTAGACGTCCATCATAAAGAACAGCATGAATACTGAATCAGGAACAAAATGCATTAGTGACTGCAAAGTCAAAGATTATGTGCTTGCAGAAGCATGGTCAACATGCTCAAGCATAAATAGAGATTAACAAGAGTGCAGAGAGAGGGGGGGGGGGGGTTGAATCTCAATTTCTAAGCTAGTTGTGCGCATACCTAGGAGCCCAAGTCGAGAATTCGTTGATCCAATTTGGCAGTACAGCTTTAGGAGCCACTATCAAATGTGGCCCCGTAACACCTTTGTTCTCCACAAGATATGCAATCAATGAAATAGTTTGTATTGTTTTTCCTAAGCCCATCTCATCAGCTAATATTCCATTAAGATTGTTATTAAACAAGGAAACCATCCACTGAAGCCCTTCTAACTGGTATGGTCTTAATTCTCCACCTTGAAGCATGGATGGCTGCTCAGTTACCTGTTATGGAACATCAATTTTGTTAATTTCTATAATCCAAGTGGCATGAGAAATTGGGAGAAGATGGAATATACATTTAAATTACACTGATCATCACATGGAATATGAGAATAAAAAGCTATTTGCAATTAAAAATGTGAAGGTTAGAAAAGATCACAAGGTTTTTCATTTATTTACCTTCTCCTGAATTGAGTGAATAGCCAAGTTATACTGCCTCTGACCTTCAAGCAAATCACCGGAGTCATCATCAATATCTTCCTCAGGAAGTGAATCTTGAGGGGTTCCATCCTTGGAAGCATCCATCTCAGGGGAATCTACTTCGGAATCTTTTAAATCTTTGATTTCATCTGAATGTTTAGCATCTTTCTGTCGTTGAACAGCAGCTCCCAAATTAACAAGGAGCTTATTTGTTTCTTCAAGAAGCATGGTTAACCGTTCATTCTTGCTCTCCTTTACTAATCTCATGTATGCTTCTTGATCATCAGCCTTAAGGGCCTGGAACCTTAGTTTCTCTGCCCGTGTAGCACGTTGCCTTTGCCTTCCATGCCATGCCTGTTAAAACCAAAAAACCAATAAGGATCTTTCACCACATGCCATAAGAAAAAGAGAAACCAAGTTCAGTTAATTGCTTCTTGGAAGAGTCTGTCCAACTCCAACATGAAACAGGGATAAAAGATGAAAATGAGAATATATTTACTCCAAACTTATAAACAAGTCACTAGAAAGTAATCTAAGCAACATTTCAAAGTAAAATGAAAAATTATCAGGAGGGATTCCTTTATTGACTTATATTTTACTTGCTACCAATGTTGTAAAAATATCAGAAAAGTAAAGGCTCAGTTAATGGCACTCTAACACTCTCATTGTAAAGGAGAACAGATACTTTTTCAATTTGGACAAGAGTGGAAGCATGTCTGCTTTTAGCATGGTACTCAAGTTTTGGATTGCCCTGTTTAAGATAGGTAATTTCATTCATATCTTCCAAATATGGTTAACAAATTTTACCATGATACTTTTAGCATGCATTTCAAACAATCATCCTTCCCTCACATTCCAGGTTTATTTGATATAGTAAAAAGAATGATTGAATGATAAAACTCAGAAATGAAAAAACATAAAGTGACAAAGAGCCAAAAAACTCTACCTGGATGCCATCATTCCTTTGCTTTCGACGCTTTTGAGATGCTTGAATTTGCAGCTGGAAATCACGGAATGCATTAACAATTTCTAAGAAGAATTTCTTCTTTCTATTCTCTATTTGGCTCTTTTCCTCCTCTCTTAACCGTGACAATCTCTGCACCAAACCAAATGAGTCTATCAAACCAAAAGTCAACAAGTAATGGTTATCAAAAAGTTATTCTGAAGGGGGGAGGAAGAGGGGGAGAAAAAAAATGGGAAACCATGCACATGAATCCTTGAGGGAAAAGGATTAGAGAGATATATTAATAGCCAGAACTCTCTCAAAATAAATGTAGCAGCAAGCAACCCAATTAATTAAATACAATTGTATACTGTCATTCTATAAGTACCATGAGATAAAACTTTGCTCACCACAGACAGCATCCAAAATCTAAAAATCCATTTTCCTAGTATCCACTTTTCAAGCAAGAGAACTAAATTAAAACAAAATCAATGACATAAGATATAACCTCGTAATCTCGTTTCTTCCTGGCTTGATCATCAATTTCTGTGGTGAAAGGAACAAAGATACCATATGATGGAAAAGGTAATCGTGCCATGCCCCAGTCAAACAATTGCCTGTCGGGATATGCACAGTTGACATGAAGCCAATACTCAGAACTCACATCAGACCGAACCTTGCTTTGCAACTCTGCTAACTGCAAAAAAATAAGTCCTTGGACACGTTAGACTTTAGCTGAGTGTACAGGTTCACTGGAAGGGCTATCAGATAAAAGGATAATATATATGGTATAATAATCTAACTAGTTTTTCAACCTGCATTTGGTTACAATTAAGATATTTCTGAAGTTCCTCAACCAAAGGATTCTTAGAAACTAGAAAACAGGTTTATCAAAACAAATTAATTCTCAAACTTATTATTGATCTTCCTCCTCTGAACCAAAGAGGTCTTTTCGAAACATTGATCATGGTAGATGAGGTTGTAGAACAAAAGACACCCAACCAGTAGCAGCTTTACCTTTAGGCCATACAATTCAAGCAAGCACTTCATCTGCAGATCCTCACCTCTACTTGAAGGCAATTCTGAGAGGAAATAGATATGAACAATGATTATTCAAGATAGTCATCAACACTTAAGTTATTAACCTACAAAATGCTACGTATAAAATAACCAATGAAAGCAGTCACAGTACCACTAGAAGCTTGAAGCAGCACCATACAAAAAAATGGAAGATCTTTTTTTATCATGTGGATGGTGCATATCCTCTAAGCAAAACTGTATGAAATGAAAAAATATTCCAACCTTCAAGTTCTTTCAAGCGATGCTGAATGTGGCTCTGGTAACGGTTTTCTCTTGATTCTCTCAATCCCGAACCTGACATGCATTTTGGTCGCTGTCTTGATAGTGCATTTTCAAATTCACTCAACAAATTCCCCTCCACAAGACTTCCCGAATCATCCTGCAGAATGATTGTTAAATCAATGATCTAAAAAGCAGCTAATTGAATACAGACACTACAATTGACATGGAAGAATAACATAACAACATCAAATCTCCATGCAACCCCAAAAGAAAAAGTCATAATATAAACTGTTTCTGAAGCAATCATCATTATAAAGTTAATCCAAACTATTACACTACTAAATATTTGCTACTTTCCTTATTTTCCCTTCTTTTTGGCAATATCTTGTTCTTAAATTACTTTCCTTCTTAATTGGTGAATCGTCCAATAATCTCACAAACATAAAACCCAGTCACTATTCAACACCAAAAGCCTCCTAGTTAAGCTGAAAAAATTAGGTAATGATATGCAGAAAACTTATTTGCACAGCCCTTATTTACAACTACCACACGTCATTTAATGAATGAACGCATACAACATCACAGGTTCCAACAAAGTGAAAAAAGCAAATTATTAAATGACATGTAAGGTTCTATGACAATTTGTACATAAAAGTTGTCCCTTAATCATTTTCCGAATAAATTTTCAGCTGCATCAAATTTGTCAACCCAAAATAGGGAGAAAAAGATATAAATCAGAATTACACAGTACAGAAAACAATTAGGGAAGCACAATTAAAACTTAAAACCTAGAGCCAAACTGCTAAAACAATCCCACCAAGAATTGTTTCCTTGACAACGCCAAACTTCAACAGCAAAACACAGAATCACCGAGAGGGCATCTCCACGATCATAACCACAAGAAAAAACAGAAGTCAAACTACCCACCAACCCAACAAAAGGCATAAGAGAAGAAAAAAAAAAGAGCAATTCTTACAACCACACCATAAGAAAGATGCAAGTGACCCAAATTTACAACTTCAGGACAATTCCTGGCACAATGAAAGTGTGTCTCAAGAACAAAAACTCCAACTTATAGCAACTTCCCAAAACAAGAAAACAAGATTCATTTGGAAACAGCAGAAAAAAAATACAAGATTAAAACAAAGGCTATCTCAAATGCAACGTAAACATCCCCAAAAGTCACAAGGATTAAACACAAACCCCATATTCACAACAATTCCCATCAAAACTAAACAAGAAAAAACACAATAGTACGGAAATAGCACTCACCAATCCCTTCGGAGCCACTGGTATCTGATCAGATCCAACGCTACCTTCGGCCCCATCGTCAAAGGCCTCCCTTTCACCTTCCTCTTCGCCAAAATAGACGGAAGAAACAGCTTCAAACAGGTCAGGAGGGAGAGGGAGGTTTCGAGAGACCAAATTAAGGGCCGAGATCAGAGACTTGGCCTTCTCTACATGGTCTAAAGCAGGCTCTTGCTGTTGTGGGTGGTGCTCTACCTGAGCCACCATCGCGGGAACAATTCCAACGGTAATATATATATTTTTTTTAATTTAAAAAACGGTAATTTCAAAAGAATTGCTTCGTAGGTGCGTGTTTTTAATATCCACGGCCGACAAAATAGAAAACAGAAGAAACCCAATATATTTCTTGCCCTCCTCTTTCGCTTCCTGGGAAATTTCTCACCGGCGTCACTTCCCCAGCTCCCCGCAGAAGTGGGGGAATTGATTCGAAAAATGGGTTCTTTTAAAAAACGGAAAACCTAAATGGAGCGAGATGAAGAGAGGGATTCAGATGAAGTTACAGAAAATTTGTGTGACCCAAATCTTTGAGTGGGTTTTTGTGGAGTATGGTGTTTGGAAATAAGGAGAGTTCGGGAGGATTGAGGAAATTACAGATACGAGGAACGCCGTCGGGAGAGAAACAGAGCCCTGAGAATTGGAGGTGGGGGCGCGGGGTTGGGGGGGTTTCAGATGGGTCAAAAGTGGGTTTGGGCCTGAGGGTCCTTATTTATTAATTTGGGTTATGGATGGTAACTTAGTATATTCTAGGGGCAAAATAAATAACACTGTCGGTGTCTTAACTTTAGAGTTAATTCCCTTTAACTCCCACATTTTCAAAGCCTGACAATTGAAATTCCATCTTTTTTTTCTTTTTTTTTTTAATTTATAGTTCTCCAACTGCTTAGGAATGAAGCCATTTGTCGTCTTCCAAGGAACATTTTAATGATTAAAAACTTGAATTTTTATATTAAAGATTTTAAGTTTAAATCTTAAAATAAGTAAAAAAGTATTTAAAAAAAATTATTTTTTATTATATAACTTATCATCTGATATCTAGAAAAAAAAAAAGAAGCATTTTGTAATTTGTCACACCAGATGTCACAAGGGATTTGTCAAAGTGACCTCCATAGATATTTTTTAAGATAATTGGAAACTAATTACAA